GACCAAAACAACCGAGATTATACCAAGACCGAACCGATTTTCAGAAATGGGGGAAACACCGATTAGATTCCGAATTCAGGGAATTATCAAACGAACGCTTCAAACTTTCTCGAGACAACACCTCCTGCCAGGCGTATTTGGAAATTCCGACCTTGACGAGCATCTGTGGTAGAAAACCATCACTTTCGTAGGGGAAACTACTGCTGTCTGCTACTATTTGCACTGCATGTGTCGCTATAGTCGCGACATCTATGCAAACAAACCGCTTATGATCATTTCATGGCCGGCCCGATCCCCGGCAGTCAAAGTTGCTGAGAGGTGGGGGGGGGGGGGGGGGGAGGAGGAAGGTCCAATATGATGCCACAAAAGACATGCCTCTTGCCTATAGCTATATAGGTACGCATGCATTAGTATTAGCATTTAGCAGTGTGCCTCCTGAGATGTTCGTGATTTTTATCGATTCATCGAGTTGACGATTTGAGGATACCTTTCTCAAAGTGCCTATCATGCAAGAAAACATAAAACCAATGAAACGTTTTCTTCCAAAAATAGACAGGTGGGACTCCTCAGAGACCATTGTAGCTGCAGTTTAATAACTCAGAAGTTGAGTCGCGCGTGAAGCCCTATATGCTAGTCAACTGGAAAGACCCAAAGGAGCCCGCCTGGGGCTCCCAGAGAATGGTGTAGGCCCCCAGGAGCCCGCCAGTGACCCCATGCGTGATAAGTTAGGAATACCAAGTGTCTGAAAGTGCTAAACTTAACAAATAATAATATATTATGCATACTAATCCTAACATTATTCATATCAATCGCTGAACGTTTCAAGGCGATCGTGCCGTCGGTGTAGCTATAGCCGAACATTTTAAGTTTTTTTTTTTTCGAGGTGAGGTCAGTTGGACTGACCTGGTGGCCTGACAATTTTAACTTTGTTAACCTCAACTTCCGGAACCGACTGAGCCGGTCCCGTAGCTCAGTCGGTAGAGCCTTGGACTCCGCGAGGTGAGATCTCGCGTCCCGGTCATAACATAACAGTCCGGGTTTGAAGCGCCAGGGACACTCGATGTTTATGAGCCTCCTGACAGGTATGGCTGCGGTTGGTGGCAGGCCGTAGCCAGCTTAAAGGGACTATCCCACCTTCTAAAATGTTGTTAAAACCAGTTAAATTGTGCCCGACTTTACAGATTGGATGACCAGGAACACGGTTCTGGCATTTATTTTTCATTAAACATCTTAGGCTTCCCATATTCCAAACACAAACTTTCAAATATGTGACGTCACAGCCCAAAATTACCTCCTTCCCCAGGCCACATTGCTGTCATAAAGCTGATTCTTTTTACTCTGTAGGCACCACAACAAAGTTCAGACCAAGTTTTAAGCGATTTTTCAACGAACAAACCCATTTAAATCAGAATGACTAAACGAGGTGACGTCACACTAACGGTCGCTCCATGTTGAAGATAGGGCCTTGTTCAAGGCCCATTTTCAAATAAAGGGAACGAATTTCTTCACCACCAAGAGGCCGCGGGGGTTGCAACCTAGATAGATAGTGGTTTCTGAACCTCGCCGCAAACTTGGCTATCTCAACTCAAACCCCATGTTAAAGGTGGGATAGTCCCTTTAAGTCAGTGAGGGGACCGGCCGTGCGCGGCTATATGTGCGCACGACTTCGGACTCTAAATTCTGTCATACCTATATCAAGAATTACGCGATCGGATGATGGAGGGCAGGGGCCGGCCAATGCAACAAGATCTGCTTAGCTCCTTTTGAATCCTACCATTCAAAAGATCCGCAGCAGTGGACTAAATTTATAAGAAAACTCAAAACTTACATATTTTCCGCACATGCTGTTAAAATTTCAGACCCAAGTTCTTAAAGTTAAAAAAACGACGCGGAACGCTGTCGTTACTACTTATACATCACGTTACGACCTTCCAGACCAGTACTTGCACCTTAGGTAGTTACTAGTTATATGTACCTATATTATGTTTATCCTATGTGTGTGCTGTGCATAGACGTCGCTACTGTAGCGACACATGCAGTGCAAATGGTAGCAGACAGCAGTAGTTTCCCCTACCAAAGTAGTGGTTTCTACTACAGACGCTCGTCGAGGTCGGAAATTCCAAATACGCCTCTCCCGGTGAGCGCATCGCAGCGCCTGGCGGTGACCGCCACCTGGCGCCGAGAGCGGAGAGCGGTGGCAGTTCCCCAACGGCGTGGCACGGTATATAGAGAACTAGGTAAAACCGGTTCGCCGCCACAACACTAAGGTATTTTGACCACTTTCTTCAGCTGACCTTTTAGAACCAAAAACGAAAAGTAGCCCATATATTTGGCTTATAATAATTACACACATATTAATTTGAAGAGCATTATCACAGAGGAAGCGACGAGTAAATCTGTGTGATAATAAAGAAAATAAAATCAAGCAATTTGGACCATTTTCCCCCCAATAGTTTATTTAACGTTACGGATGTTTATTGCATCTGAATTTCATTTTGTGTCTTCAAATAATAAAATTAATAGTAGATCTACACAAATATCCACAATAATAGCTTTATTCAATTTCTAAGGAAACCATGGCCTATGCCCACTTCTCATTCACGACGTAGTAATGTTTCAAAGCAATGGTTTGATTATTCATCATTCGCCGGTCCACAACCGCGCTATATTTAGCCTTAAAAAAGATTTTTCTACAATATTAGCTAAAAATTATCAAGGTTCATGCCCGACATTCAAAAATATTCAAAGAAACATAAATTAGAGCTGCAGTTCTATCAGGTCCCCGCAGCACACCTCACACGAGCTGTCTCAAAAACAAAAGAGAGTCGCGATCTATAAAAAATACGAAAAAATGCAGAATTGATCATTCTATAAGTTGGCCAATTCCTGATACGAAGTCAAACTTGAAACGTACTCATTTTTGGTTCCAAACATGAAAGTTTGCATTTACCTGGTACTCAACTTTGAACAAAATCGCACATCTTTTGGAAAGTTAAACGTAATTGTTGAAAAATTATACCTTTTCTGAAAGAGCAAACTTTTTTACGCTTATTGCATGTAACAAATTGGGTATCAATCTTTGAAAGATCATAAAATTTACGCCTGAAGTATGTCACTGTTTGCTTCGCTTTGGGTGACGCCTTCACATTGTCTGGATGAATACTCAAAAACAAGAGAGAGTCGCGATCTATTGAAAGATGAAAAATGTACAGAATTATCCATTTAATATACCTTGTAAATCTCAATACCAGGTCAAACTTGAAACGCACCCAATTTCGGCCCCAAAGGCATCAGAACGATTTTACACGAGGTACATCAGTTCGTAATGGCGTATGCTGGTGTTCGATGTTTGTGCTCATGATGCTTTTGCTTTTTATTTCAGCGTTTGAAGACGAAATTCGAGGCGTGATTGGCTCAGAACAGCTAAGCTCATTGCCAAGATTCAAATTATGAACAGTTTGACAAGCATTGTTTGTATTGTATTGTAGTGTATTGGTAGGGGTTTAAATTTGAGATTTCAGCAAATTTCAAATTAGAAGTGGATGTAAGAGTTGTGTCATTGCAGTGCAATTATGAAATTCTTCCAAATGCCATGTTGGAGGGATTGGAAAGCCATATTGAAGTATCATTGGCGACATTGGCTAGCCAGTTCACATACCTACCAGAGTTGTTTGATATTTGATAAATATTTGGTTGGTAGGTACCTTTTCATTTGAATTAAAGCTGGAACTGGAACGTAACAGTGAAGAAAAGACGGTCGTCAAGTTAGATGTAAGTGAATCCTAATCTATAATCTAAGATTCAGAATCAGGTGAGCCCCTACGATTTGGACCAAACTTGGTCAGTGGATAGTACGTAACGTCCTGATTACGATGCACCCAAAATCTAAGCTCGGCCCGCCATATTTACGAAGTTACGGATGTTTGAATTTCAAGGTCATTCGGGAGAGCCCCTACGATTTCCGTCAAAATTTGTGTACGGACACTTTAGATGCTCCTCATTACGAATATCACAAAATTTAAGCTCGGCCCGCCATATTTACGAAGTTACGGAGGTTTGAATTTCAAGGTCATTGGGGTGAGCCCCTGCGATTTCCGTAAAAATTGGTATACGGACATATTCCATCCTCCTCATTACAAATATCATAAAAGTTAAGCTCGGCCCGCCATATTTTTCAAGTTACGTAGTCACAAAGTTACGGAATTTCAAGGTCATTCGGAGAGCCCCTCCGATTTTCGTCAAAATTTGTATGCGGACACATTACATGCTCCACATTACGAATATCGTAAAAGCTAAGCTCGGCCCGCACTATTTCAAAAGTTACTGAGGTTTGAATTTCAGCGAGTTTCAAACTTCATTAACTTTTGAAATAGTGCGGGCCGAGCTTAGCTTTTACGATATTCGTAATGAGGAGCATGTAATGTGTCCGCATACAAATTTTGACGAAAATCGGAGGGGCTCTCCGAATGACCTTGAAATTCCGTAACTTTGTGACTACGTAACTTGAAAAATATGGCGGGCCGAGCTTAACTTTTATGATATTTGTAATGAGGAGGATGGAATATGTCCGTATACCAATTTTTACGGAAATCGCAGGGGCTCACCCAAATGACCTTGAAATTCAAACCTTCGTTACTTCGTAAATATGGCGGGCCGAGCTTAAATTTTGTGATATTCGTAATGAGGAGCATCTAGAGTGTCCGTACACAAATTTTGACGGAAATCGTAGGGGCTCTCCCAAATGACCTTGAAATTCAAACATCCGTAACTTCGTAAATATGGCGGGCCGAGCTTAGATTTTGGGTGCATCGTAATCAGGACGTTACGTACTATCCACTGACCAAGTTTGGTCCAAATCGTAAGGGCTCACCTGATTCCGAATCTTAGATTATAGATTAGGATTCACTTACATCTAACTTGACGACCGTGAAGAAAAGGATGCTGATTACTTGATGTATTGAAAATACCAACTGGGCCCTGTTCATGTTTCACCATTCTGCTTCTGACACTGCGCACGCTGCAGCATGCTGGGAGCTATAGCATACCAGCAGCGCGTTGGGTGTTCATGGAAACATTACAAACTCGAATGCCTCAATGCTGAAGCTTTGAGCCGAATTCGTCTTGAACGCTGCACCAGCGCTCTGCAGTGCACGCACCATCCAGACCGTGAAACAGGGCTCTGGTCGTAGATGTTGATTTCTTTGTAACTGGTAACGGAAGCATCAAGCATGATGAGCAGCACCATGAAGAGTGAGTTGCTGCCGCTGGTATTGAAATATAAGTAACTTTTTGTCTTTTAGCAGAGCTAGACATTAAATTTGGTATCCTTTTACAAACTTAGGTACTAATGGATGTCAAGATGTTGCTAACAGTGGTGCTGGCACCACCAACACCAGTCTATCTCTTTATGCTGGTGTTTCATCCCTTTGCACTGCAGATGGTTGACAAAGCACAAAGCAAAGCAAGCACAAAGCATTCACTCAGTTCCTAATCTCGGTCTCCGCTGCTCTCACCTGTGTCAGCTGTCTTGTCTACCCCTGTACTTCTGAGTCCTTACTCCCTCTTTCTTTCGCTTTACCCAGGTTTTGTCAATGTTCTGCATGTACAGTTGCTGCTTTTTGGTGCGCCCAGGCTGTCCATCCAATTAACGCCTGAAAAGTTGCTGAAAGTGCCTCCCGCCAGACTTGCTGAATGGCTATTACCTGCACCTGCTATCTGGACTGAAGCTTCCCCAACTAGCTGACATGGGTCTTGGCAGCTGGGCTTAATAGGTCACTGGTCAAAGGTCATTTGGGTCAGGGTCATGGAATTTTAAGGACATGTGTAAAATTGATCAGCTCGAGGGTGCTGAAAGTTTCGTCTCAATCGGCCTCTTTTTTTATCAGCCCATCATGGGCGTTTGACTAGTAAAATATAGACGTTTCAGCCTTATGTGACGTTGAATAAGCCTAATTTAATTATAGAAGGTCGTCATTATGTGCCTGCTGCGGCTTTTGTCGTCTTCATTGTGTGCTTTGTGGTTTTTTAGTTTTGATCATATCATCCTCCACCAGGCTTGTTTCTGATGGTGGTTCTGGAGACAGCGGGTCGATCCAGCTGTAGGACGTCAATGTCATCTGGAGGTGGAAGAGTGTGATGGCCAGCCACGCGGCGCGCGTATCGACATTGACCAGAAACCATCACATCATCTCCAGGTCAGTAAACTAGGTCAGCGACGTCACGGCAATTCTGTGACCCGTCGCCGCGTCCTTAGGTGGGTGGCTCGGGGGAACTTTTTGTGTTGCCGGGATGGGATGTCTGCTAATGCAGGTGCCGTTGCAACGTGAAGTGTCGTGACGTATGATGGGTCTCAGGTTCGGGCTTCAATTTATCGAGTGAGAAATGTGTGTACATACAGGCTAATGTACTGTTATTCTAGCTGAGTGTGCGACAGGAAACATGATGAGCTATGAACCGTGGTCGCCGTGGCTCATAGTGGTATATGACGACCGTCGTGAGTCGTGACCTGTGACGGTCACCGTGACTGCTATGTGACGGTCGCCGCGGCTGGTATATGACGGCCGCCGTGACTTCTATAACGGCCTTCGTGACTGAAACGTGACGGTCGTCTTGACGTGCCGCGACTCGCTGCTTTACAGGTCACTGGTCGCGGGCGCTCGAGCTGACGGTGTCTTCCGACGGCTCCACGGTGACCAGCGCCGCCACCGCCGAGACCATCCGACTCCTGAAATGATAATGGCCGTACACGAACAAGAGGCTCTAAGCATCCAGGTGCAAGCAAGCGCCATGCTCAGAGGCGTCATCCGAAGAAGGTCGCACAGGGCACTTAAGGCTGAGCTTGGGTGTAGTGCGCGCTGACGGATAGGATGAAATGACGGCCATCATCTTTCAGTGCGGAGATCAAGATGGTCGGAGCCGACGTGGCTCCGTTGATGGTGCGCCGGGGTTGATTGAGAGTGGAGGCGGACACCCGGATCTGTGAAGGATACGTCGATACAGGTCTCGACGTCGTCTCGCAATTTGTGCTATGTAATATGACGGCTATGCCGTGGTGTGGTCTCATTCACTCTCGATACGCTGATAAATCATAAATAGGACAGAGGCTGAAATAAAGATGATTATATTCCATATTTGGATGTATAATATAAGATATAATTATATTCATTTAAGATTATATTATATTTGGATGTAAGGGGCAGGTTTTTGCCAGCGCGATATTAAAAGTCGTGAGCGTGCTAGTTGTAATCACTCGCGCTTTTTTTTGCTGAGCATCTGTGAGCGAGAAAATACTTTCTCTGGAACTTAGCACTGTTAGCAGTTCGCCGTGAAATATGTGTATCTTTGGAGTAAGTTGTCAGAGCAAGTGCATTTTTGGTGCATCCACTGCAGCTGCTGTTCTGGAACAGAAACATGTCGAAATCGGCTGTATGTACGCTGTGGCAAAATCAAGCAGCCGTACCATGAATCAAAAGCGATATGTGAATTAAAGTGAATATATTTCACTATCTTTTTCCGTTTTATCATACAGATCACACAAATGCGTCAAATACTGATCACACCCGGTTCCAAACAAAAACGCTTGCGATCACTGAAAGTGAAAAGTAAATAAACAATAGATACCCAGGTGGCTGAGTGGCGCGATCCGAGGCTCTCTCTCACTGTTGTTACTGACGCACACAGGACAATACGGCCGAATCGGCCACGATGGAGAGCACGGAACGATGCTGGTGACTGGCGGACCAGCGAAAACAGGAAAGGAGATGGATAGCTCTAGCTCCCGTCTGCGCGCGGAAGGGCGCAGATTGACGCGGCTCACAGACTCCATTGGCTTATCAGGCTGTTGTCGGTTTTCTCCCTCCCCTCCCACAGGCGTAGCCAGGTAGCTAAGTTATGCGCGGAAGCGAGCGGCCAGAGCGGCGCTAGGCGTCACCCTCTTGCGACCGGACAGCGCAGCTGGACGTGCCGCGGATGGTCCGCCGCCTCCGATCTCGGCACGCTCTGCAGAGTGCGGCCGGACACTCCATGGAGTTGCATAGCGTTGATAGGCCGTATGGTGTCACTGTCGTAATTACAAAAGCGGAAGTAGAAGGTTGAAGCAAGATAGAATGCTATCTTTTTCGAGCTTTGTTAAACATAGTGTTGGCCGTTTCTTCACATATAATATTGCAAAGCACAGCTTTATGCGCTGGCTACGATATGTGCGTGTCGGTTGCGGCAGTAATAATCGAAGAAATATATGATTTATTAACGTTTCTTGATCATAGAATGATAAAACATTGCAATGTTTGCCTGTTGTGAAGAATACTGCTATACTGCTGCTCTATCGTCCGGAATTATTCGTGTTCGATTACGTCGATTCCGCCACTCTATCAGCTGATTTTTGTTTCCGAGTCACGTGACCAACCGGTGTCTCCCTGCGGCGTGGCTGCCATCGACGGCAAGCACGTGCTGATTCGTGCCTCCCCCAACTCTGGTAGCGAGTATTTTAGTTACAAGCACCAGTTTTCGGTGGTACTGATGGCCGCCGTGGACGCCATGTATAACTTTGCGTTTGCCGCGGTGGGGAGTGCGGGGACGGAGAGTGACGGCGGCATCTTCCGGAGCCTCCGACTGGCGCAGCGACTGGCGGACGGCAGCATCGGGCTGCCACAGCCTTCCCCACTACCGGGCGGGTGAGAGTAGGTTCCGCACTTGCTCTCGGCGTTCCCTCTCCTGCCCAACCTGATGCAGCCTAATCCGCCGATCCGGGACGGAGGGAAAGATGGGCGACCGCGGCCGAGTGTGCGAAAATGCTTTCGGTATCTTCGTCCAGACATGGAGGCTGTCCTTCCGTCCGCTGAACGTGGACCCGGAGCACGTCATGCTGCTCGTTATGACGGTCGTCATCCTCCACAACTTCCGGCGCAGCGAAGTTGCCAAGCACGTTGAAATGACGACCGAAAACGCCCCTGACGCAGTCGCACTCAGGATATATTGAGTGAAGGGTAGGACGAACTTTGGTAGGAATTTCTAGTATAACTACTAGAAAACCTACTATATGTGGTCGGGACTAGGAAAAAGTTAGCTCAAACTAGAATATGGTAGCGCTTATGGTTGGCAGTCGTGACGCGCACGTGACATCCATTTCTTAAATTCCTTAAGTAACAGGTTTTAGGGGCCGATTAGTGGACAGATACATTCAATTAGCTATTAATAATTGATTATGCAAACATTCAAGAATCTACATCATTCAATTCTAGCCAAAATCACGCGGCGCTCCCAGGATTCGAACTCACGACCCTCGGATCCGTAGGCCGATACGCTACCGACTGCGCTACCGCAGACCGCGCGCTGACGATCGGAGAGGCGGATCGCGGGTGCTGGCGTGCAGAGAAATCTTTACCCTGTACGCCGTAGAAGATTGGCTGGGTTTCGTGAAAAATGGTAGAGGAATTGTCGAAAGAAAATTCATCGATCTATCATTTGAGACCAAGAACCATTGATTCCTTCAAAGGTTGACCGAGATATCGCTCGCCGAAAACAGGCCATTTAACATGTAAACCCTATGGGCTGGTAGGAAATGTACGCCGTGGAGCAGCAGTGCTACCAACTAACTTCGGCGGGGGCCGGTCGCACCAACCTCCAGGGCGCATAATGTGCCAGCCCTGGTGAGAATGGCAAGCAGCAGCTCCCACAACCACACCAGGCGGCAGAGCAGGTGCGCGTTAAGTTCTGCCACTACCTCAGCTCCGACGGCGCTGTTCCGTGGCATATGTCGGCCTCTAAGACCGTCGTCCACGACTAACTAGCTAAATGTAGTGCCTGCAGTCTACTGTACCACCTGTACCTAAAATATAAACTTTAACATTTTCTGGCGGCATTTTCAAGAAGGGAAATGGGGATACCAGCTGTGTTTACCAATGCAATACCTTATACGGATTTGTGTTATATTACCAACGTTTAAAATATTTGAGACCAACGAAGATAATAGGAAAAACGAATACTGACTTCTACGATTGTACTTTAAAACCCGATAAGATAAAGGCGATTGCGAGGAAGGAAATCAGAACAACAAATAGGAAGGATATAAGTCCAACCATCAGCTGGCTCTGTGCAAAGATAGGAAGGACAACTTTCAGTTCGTGCTCACCGCTCTCCTGTATCAGGACACAGCCTCTTGTATCAGGATGGTGCAATGATTGATGTAAATAAAATATAAGTATTTGCTGGCTCATGAACTACAGCTTGAAAAGGAAGTTCTAAATATAAGTTAGATTTTCATACGTTTTTTTTTTTAATTTTGCATCCCCGCTAGCACAAGGCTATAGCAGGGGAAGGGTGCGAGCCACAAATCTTCAACTCCTTCCACGGTAGCAGCGGCGTCTCCACAGTCTCTCCAGACTGTGGAGAGATATATATATATTCTCCAGTCTCCACAGCACGGCGGTCGGTCGGTAACTGACCGAAACAAGAGCAAAACAAATCGAAGGCCTTGATTGGAGCCCTTTTTCAGCGCAGTGCGCACCAATTGCGCCCCACTGTTCCCACCCTAACTCTAACTCTGGGCTGTTACTGTATCATGGGGGGCGACACGGCTATTCGCGCAATGTATTCAGTTATGGGCCGCGCGGGGCCTCGCGATGACGCGGCTGGAGGCAACTGCTCAGCGCGCTAGGATACTTCTGGCGGGGCCGGGCGCTGAGCGGTATGCAATGAATGTGTTATGGGCGGGAAGACAGAGATGAGCAGGGTATATAGAACAACGGGTACACCAACGACGCGGAAAGCGCCCATTTTACCTGAACAAGCTACATGGTAGGTGATATATTTTTTGAATATGGAAAAAATAGAGTATTCGATTGTGATGAGTAAAGGGAAATTCATAAAGCAGTTATTTTTAAATAATATGTACCAGAAATAACAAACTGACCATAGGTTAAAACTTACTATGGACGTCAAACCCCTTGAGACCCCACTTTTTTGCGATAATTTTTAAATGCGTGAACTCTCGTTGACGATATTCTGGCAATCGCAATGTGTGTTTCAGAACCTGCCGAAACTTTTATTACTAAGGTATTTTGACGCCAAACGATTATGAAAGGTACTTCTCATTCACTCGTAATGCTAAGGTCAATTCAGGCCCGGGCAGAGGCTTGCGTTCGGCCATACTCGAATCTACCAACGCCCGCTACCGCTACCAGCTACCGCCCAGCATCAAGCCGGAATGGAGCGCGAGACGCGAGTGACCGGTCGCCGGGCAAGGAGCGCCAGAGGGGTAGGGTGGAGCTTAGCGCTGACGTCATTACGTTGCTCCGCCCCATGAGCGCGTAGCCTCTACTCAGTTCCGTGAAATTTAACATTACGAGTGAACGAGAAGTACCTTTCATAATCGTTTGGCGTCAAAATACCTTAGTAATAAAAGTTTCGGCAGGTTCTGAAACACACATTGCCAGAATATCGTCAACGAGAGTTGACGCATTTAAAAATAATTGCAAAAAAGTGGGGTTTCAAGGGGTTTGACGTCCATAGTAGTCTAAAGTTACTTGAAAAGCGTATAGTTGATACTAAGATGGAATGAATCAACAACAGGCAGAAATGGCGCAGCTGTTTCATTCTTAAAATGTGTTCGCAAGCAGGATTTACGTGATGCTAGCGACATCTATGAATGTAATCGGGGATGCTGATTGGCTGATCGAGTCCGTGAGCAGTATAGCTAATTTACACAGTACAGGGTTGAGGCAACGTGCGCATGCGCAGGAACTTGTGCTCTCATGCAGGGGCTTTTGGTACCTCGGGCAGCGCCCAATGCTTTTTGGACCCGTTATGGCCTCCGCATCGAAAAACGCTAGATAGACAGGTTGTAGAGGAAGTTTGAGGCTACCTTTCCTCACAATAATATTGGCACTTTTTATTTTAGCTTACGTATGAGGCTCGCCTGAAAAGGGTCGATTTAACATGGAAACCCAATGGGGTAGTAGTTT